GATGTAGGACGTGCAGTGGGACACTCTATTTAACTTGACGCGAAATCCCTATAGTACGCGCGCGACTCGTCCGCTGACTTTGCCTTCTTGCCGCGCGACGGGCCTCCTGGGGGTACCCCACTTGCACTCACAGGAGCAATTTTTTTTGCTCGCGTGTAAGCTCCAAAGTGAAGCAAATACACAAGTGTTGTACATCAAAATGTACAAGAGATTGCGCGCTTTCAGACTACATCATAATCTTTGAAAATAATCAGCAAAAATCAAAGATCCATGAGCCTGAAAAAAACAACGGACAACTTTTGCTCAACCTAATATCTCCTACCCTGCTTTCATATTCATTCATGCCGGGAAGATTGGTGATATTAGGTTACGGCCGCACCCATTGATGGCATGAAATGAGCTACACCTGGCAGAACCTGCAGTTCTTGAAAACTTGTCCAAACATGCCCTCTTTTCACTGAAGGTTGGAGTGCTACCGAAAGAGAGGTAGGAGAATTTGTGGGGTATTTGGCGATTTATTTCAGTTTTTTCTGTACCTTCAGTCTCAATCGTGCCTCTGCCTATCGGCTGCATCCGCCGCAGGCCTCAAGGTTACCAGAACTTCGTTTATTCCAAAGGAAACTAGTGCTCATAGTAATATTCTTGAATTTATTCGGAAAGGTTTCAGTCTCCTCTCCGGTGTCACGAGGAGAGGGACTGAAGTTGCTCCTGTCATAGCCTTGAATGGTAAGGTCGAATATTATGAAAAAATGAAAAGGTGAATGAAGCAACTCACCAGTAGCTCCAGATTTCGCTACTAACTTCAGAAGTTCAAGAAAATACTGGGTTTTCGGAGGTGCTCCTTTCAGGTCGAAATGCACAATGACATTTGTGTAGTGGTACTTAAAAAAGCAAGAGTGTTATTTGCGAGTAGCATCAGAATGGTCTTAGGCATTGGAAAAATTACCAGGGAGAATGGGTGTGTCTTGTGAGATCATGATGCGACTTAGGGCACGTTTGTAGCGTGTCGCGTTCAGAATGATTGTGCGGAAGTTGAATCGGCGATGGACACTTTCTCTACTATCCACTCTCATTGGGTGAGTGCTACCTCGATATATAACCACCGCCTTCCACGCCTAGCGAAGGCCTTGACAAAACTCGATAAGCACAACTGTCGAGTAATTCCAGTGAGCACGCGACAAAAGCGAATGTGTTTGCGTTGTGGCCATGCTCGGGCACAATAAAGTTGGGGTTCTTGGTGTTTTCTGGTGTGTTCTTGCACAAGTCGGCGAATTTCGGTGGTGATGCAGGTTTTATTCCAAACAGCCAGGACATCTTTGCGAATTACGAGGGTGTGAAACCAAAGGGGCGGAAGTGGTGTAGTGGCAAGTGGCACGCTTACCACGCGAGCGGTCCGGGGATCAAATCCTGGGTCGTGAGTCGCCCGGGCCAACCAAGCCTTCCATCCCTCCGGGGTCGGTTAATTGGTACCAGACTTGTCTGGGAGGATAAAAACACTGACTTGTACATCGGCTGGCCCCCGCAAGTCATTGTATAGGCCACATCGCATTCAACGCCACTACGAATGTACCGGAAGAGAGAAAAGCTCACCGGGGCGCGGACGCGAGCACGTGTTGGTGACGTTAAAATGTCGTCACTACTACGGCAGGTTCCAAGGAAGAGCAAGCAAGGGAGGCATTTGTAACTGCGCAGAAATGGCACTGGGTTTCTCGTATTATACCAATTTGTCCAATCAGTTGAGCTGCGAGCGAAATGATCATGTCATGCACAGGTATTATCTTTGCACTAGAAATTGGAATTTTCCGGAACTGTACAGAAAGTGAAGGCTTTCATGTGCAAACCCTTGAAAGTACACAACCATGGTAAATTGATTGAATCAGGTTCTTCGGGTTCGTTTCCTACTCATTTCTCTACTCAATCCACAGCAAAGTAATAGCGTGACAAATGCTCGCATTCACCAAAGCATTCATGGCAGATCTGGCCCTTGCTCGCTCCCTCGCCGTCGCTGTGACGTCAACCAAACAGCGAATGCGTCG